CAGTAGGTGGCGATAATGCTCCTAAGGAGTTATTCGCCATAAAACGAAGAAGAAGAAGTCGTCAGTCACCGGATGTTTCTCTTCTCCGCGCTCATGTTGAACCGACTGTCACGCTCAACTAAACTATTTTTCCGTTACATCCCCCCTTCTTCAATCCTAACCCACAGAAACCTCTTCAGCGCCCGGTTTAATACGAATATGGAGAGATGTGTGGTGAGATGTGTGCCGCGCGAGTCCAAACTGACCATCTCCTTCAATCTGGACGGCAGCAATAAACAGATGCTGAGAGAGCAGACGGAGCCGCTGGGGAAAGTCCTGGCTCGCATAGCCAACAGCCTCATCAAGGCACAGAACAAAGCGAAGAAATCCAGACCAAACGAAGAAAAGCGCGAGACTCCAGAGATCAGCCTGCGCGTGAACGAGACGCGCGTGCCCGAGGACACCGTGAGCGCGCGCGCGTGGCAGGACGGAGCCGTGTTGCATGTCGGGAGCTTGAAGTATAAAGTGGAGCTGAATCCTCCGACATTCACTGTGTCTGAGCTCCCAACATCTCTAATGGCCGGATTTCCGGTTTGTCCCAAGCTGGAGATGGAGTTCGGAGAGCTGAGGGACTCCGAGTTCAGATGGTTCAAGGAAAGCTCTCCTGATGCACCTCAAGACTGCTGGATGGAGGCTGGATGTGAACGTGTGTTCACGCCATCCAATCTGGACATCGGTTTGAAGGTGATGCTGAAATGCACTCCAGGGAACGGATCCAGGTTTGGGGAACCTAAGGAACTGGTGTCTTCAGGTGTAGTCGAAGCCGGTCCAGGAGCATGCAGCTTTGATAACAGACACATGTTCACTCAGGAGGCCACCGGTGAGTCTTCACTGAGGCTTGTGTCTTATAACATCCTAGCTGACATCTACGCTCAAACCGAGCTTTCCAAAACAGTGCTGTACCCTTATTGTGCGCCGTACGCTTTAGACATGGACTACAGGCAGAATCTGATCAAGAAGGAGCTGTCGGGCTACAACGCTGACATCGTTTGCCTCCAGGAGGTGGATAAAGGCGCTTTTGTCGATAGTTTATCTCCTGCGTTGGATGCGTTTGGGTTGGACGGGGTT